TTTTTTTTTTTTTTATGTGGCCCAGTCAGACCTTTGTTAAACCTTTTATTAGTTGACATAAATAGCATGGTTATTGTTAAAATGACTAATGAGGTAATAAAAGGTTATGTAAACTCCAGAGCTGAAGTGAGAACAGTTCTTGTGTTTAGGTGTGGGTGATGTCAGGCTGAAAGTTTAGTAGATTTCTGCTTTCTATGACTTCTAGAATTTCATTGTCTGGCTCTTCTTTTCAGCTGGAATGTTTTATTCCTATTCCTTGCACAACTGACAGTAGTGGAAGTTGAGAAACATGAGATGTGGGAAGCTTGTAAGGTATTTTGCTTCAGTGAACCCATAAGAATATAATGCTGCTACTTTGACTATTTTTGTATTTTACTTCCTGCTTGTCTGTCCTTTCATCCTTGTTTTTGGTTCTTGCATCTTGCCATTCCTTCCTTGTTTTCCCATGGCCTGTGTGTGGGTGTTTGGTGTCTGTATCAATGCACTGCCAGTGACCATTGCTGTGTGACCTCATCTGTAAACTGCTGCTCCAAAGACTGGAATTGGGTTTGTTTCAGCTGTTCTTTTGTGAAGCCATTTTGTTTATCATTCTTGAGAAATTCTGGAGGACATAGAAAGTTATCAAATAAGAAGGAATCGGTGAAGTTGATGTCTGTCCTTCTGGCTGTGGGGAAATCATGGTAGCTGTCATTTGGTTTGGAGGTGCCAGGACGTTAATTTCTTTTTTAATCCAAATAGCCACTTTCCAAGCTGAAAATCTCACCCTGAGAATTATTTAGCAATCCAAATGAATGGCACAATAAGTTTCCTACATGGAGTTCAAGCCAACTGAACCACTTCAGGAATCTTTTTCTGGCTTTCCCACAACTGCTCAACAGTTAAGAAAAAGGGCATCCAGGAAACATTCAAATACTCTGGTCTCTCACCTGTTTTTATTTTGACAAGAGACAAAATCAGCAGAAAATGGCTGTTATTTCTTATAGGCCTCTGACAGTTTTGAGAGCTAGGTCCTGGTTTAACAGTGCTCTTGTGGTTTGATGGTCTTGAGTGAGCAAAATGGGTATTGGAAACCATAAGCTTACTCAGTTGCTTGGGAAAACATCTGGTGTGAGACTTAGATTGGATTTTAAAAAACTATTTTTGCTGACTTGGTATAAAAGGGTTTGAAAATGAGAGTGAAGAACTTGCAACTACAGCCAGAAAAAGTTTTTTGCAGAGTTAAATTAGTATTTTTGGGAGTTCTTTTTCGTAGGTATCTGCCAAGTGTGATGTGCAAGGCTGCCTTTAACTGCATTTGTGGTGGTAAACTCGGGCTCTCTCTTTAACAGTCCTCAGTAATGTGGCTCTGAATTGGCTAATTCCACTCTATTATGCCCCTTGTCTTTATCCTACTTATTTCCATTTAAAGAGAATAGGGGCCTCTTATTAGCTGTGTGAGGAAACCTCTGCTTCAGAGCTTGATTCTTATGGCAGTTGGGAGTGTTCACTAGGAAACATAAAGATTACAATGGTAGTACAGACCCAGATTTATCCATACAATGTATCTTCAAACATTGCATTCAGTTGTGCTGATACTAGTCATGCAGAGTATTTTCATGTACTTTCTATGGAGCAAAACCTTGTATTTTACTTCTCATGAATATAAATTTGTGACATAATCATGGATTAATTTCATCTCAGTCTTTAGGACTATATTACTGTGGTTACAGATAGTGGCACTTTAATATTGTATGAGGAAATGTTGTGTTGCTGTTACTGCTGTGACCCAGAGTTTGTCACAAACGGATGTGCTGCTTTGCCACAGTTAACAGGGCTGTGTTGTTTCCTGGTACAAGATAGTATTTTTGCTCCTAGCTACTCTTACTCACCTAATAGAGCAAACTAACACTGTGAAAGGAGAAATAATTACATGGCACATTGCTATTATCATATAACAAATGTTACTAATGTTAGCTAATTGTGTAATAAAATCAGTGCTGTTAGGGTCCTTGGAACATCATAATAATGCTTATTAACACAAATCTATGACTCAGGTGTGTTTCTCCTCAAGCTGTAGCATTACATATGCTGCCACTTAGTTGCCCTCCTGGTTTTGTGTATTCCTAAAAGCTCAGTCCAAGACTGCCTAGAAGGAGGGGAAGTCACTGCCCTTGTCCCTGAGGCAGAGCCCTGAAGTCTGTGACCCCAGGAGCAGTTTTCTCTCTGTTTTGCAGGGCCTGGCCTCAGCCTGAGGCCTGTAGCAGTCCTCCCAGAAGGAGAATATCCAAACAGTGGATAGCCAGATATAAGTCATGGAGGGACTGCTGTAGGCACCTGAGCTGCTGCAGTGTGGTGACTGAAAAACATGAGTGGGCCTGAGCTGGAAAGCTAAGGCATTGTTTCTTATTTCCACCCCTTTAGTACTTTCTGTACCTCTTGTGCTGGTTTAAGTTATAACAGAAGGTAGTCAGGGCAAGAGTCATTGTTTTGGGATGTGTTTAGACAGTGTAGAAGACAATGGGGGCCCACACTCTGAGCCATAAATAGTGTTAATTGTCAGCTGCTTCCTAAGTGACTGTTGGGAACAGGGACGGTTTCTCTTCCTCTCTTCTCCTATTGTTGATTTTTAAATGATGTTTTTAACTAAATTCTTGCCAAGAGATTACCTATTAAAAGATTTAGGATTTAACATATACAAAATAAAGCCAAAGTGAGTGCTTGGGCTGGGATGTTGTTAATTAAGTTTTTGGTAACATTTTAAACCTTTAAATTTTTTTTTAAGCATTTGTCATTCTGTTATTAGGCTATCTTTGTAGATTACAGATTACTGTTGAAATGAGAGCAGTCAGTGGGAGACTGTAATTTTTAAAGAATGTGTGGGGAAGCTAATAGGGAACTATGTATTAATGCTGATTTCTGGAGCAGCAATGACATAGGACGAATTTTCTTTGGCAATAACTACTCTTTCCAGATCACTTTAATGGTATACACTGTGAGAGGAGACTTTTGAGAAAGTGAAGAGTCTTTGGAACTAATTTGCAAGTCAGATATGTATTGCAAGTACTGCCTCATCCTGTTTTGATTGTATTAGTGGACCTT